GTTCTATATGCATATTGATTTTTTCCTAAATGCTTCCCACATCTGTTCAAAAAGCCCTCCCAGCTCTTTACTCTAATCTACAGAAGCCAGATCATGTCTCATTCCATCAAAATTGGCTTTTTTGAAATTTGGAATCAGGGTACTATTCTTCAATTCTACGTGTAGTAAAATCCCACACCTAATAGTGCAATAGTTGCTTGTTCTTAAATGCTCACCAACCACAACTCTGTTTATTATATTCATATCGGATGCTAATATTAAATCTAATATAGCATTTTCTCTTGTGGGTTCCATCACCAGTTGATGTATAAAGATATCCTGAACAGTTTCCAAAAACCTATCACCTTCATTGTCAGACTTGAAATTTTCCCAATCAATACCCCTGAAATTAAAATCTCCCATTATAACATCTTTTTCAGCTACCATTTTGATCTCATTATACAATTTCTCATTAACTTCCACATTCTGACCTGGTGGTCTATAACAAGTCCCAAATACAATATTTTTCCCATTATATCCACTAACCCAAACTGACTATTTTCTTTAATATACTCTAACTCAACAGTATTCAATTCACTCCTCACATATGAAGCTACTCCTCCTCCATTTTCGATACTCTATCTTTAGTAAATAATCAGTAGCCTGAAATTTCAAAAAAAAATTCATCAAAATTGTTCAATCTAACCTATTCTCAGTGATACCTATAATATCAAAATACTAAGTTTCCACAACTGCTTTGAATTCAGTTTTATTTTTAATACTCCTAGCATTACAATACTGACAATTAATCATACATTTTAAATTATGTTCATGTTTTATGTCTGTTGTACATGTTTTTCTGTCAATTATATTTCCTATTTTACTAATACCATAGCCCTCACCTCTATCTAGTCCTAATTGCCACTACAGCTGAAATAATAACTCGTACTGACATGATAGTCCCGGCTTGTTTAAGTGTAAGCCATCCATTCTAAAAAAGACTAATTTTCCAATTACAAATATCCCACAAATCCACCCAGCCTATTTGCTCATTCCTACATATTGATCTAAGCCTGGCATTCAATCCTAGTGACCTACTTAGTATCTCATCACCACAATATATTCTTGGCAATATCCCTAACAAAATCAAGCTATGACCCCTTTCCTTAAATACCCTTATCAGTGTTTCATACTTATCAATAAGCTCCTAAGATCCATCTTTCCTTACATCATTAGCCCCCAACATGTACAACTAGCACCCTTAACTATCTCTGGTTCTGTCAGTTATATCTTGTACCCCTTGCTCTCCATTTATTGTTGAAATTTATCGCCAACAAGACACACACGCCTACTGTAAAGAATTGGCCCAATAAATACCTGACGTTAGTTTTAACAAATTATTTAAGAGAAAGAAATGTCACGCGCTTTAATGCCACCAGAAGTAAAGTTTAACGCGAATTCTTGGGTTGTTTACGTTTTAACACTGTATCTAACACCTGCCACACGAGCCAGCCCGG